TGACCCTGCCACACCTCCATGTACCATCTGACCCTGCCACACCTCCATGTACCATCTGACCCTGCCACACCTTCATGTGCCATCTGACCCTGCCACGCCTTCATGTACCATCTGACCCTGCCACACCTTCACGTAACATCTGTCCCTGCCACACCTCCATGTAACATCTGACCATGCCACACCTCCATGTAACATCTGACCCTGCCACACCTCCACCTACCATCTAACACCCTACACCTCCACCTACCATCTAACACCCTACACCTCCACCTACCATATAACTTCCACCACACATCCACCTACGATCTAACTCCGTCACACCTCCACCTGCCAACTCCCGCACACTTCCACTTACTAACTCCCACACACCTCCACCTACCAACTTACTCCCACACACTTCCACTTACTAACTCCCCCACACCTCCACCTACCAACTAATTCCCCCCCGGCGACAAACATCCGCTGGGCAAATGCCAACAACAAGACACCTGACACCTCAAAAATCAGAGCCCAAATTAGCACTGAGAAAATGCTAGAGAGTGTATTGAATCTTTCCCTGGAAGATGGACAGTGGTTACAAGCCTCACTTCCAGTCAGGCATGGGGGGGGGGGCTGGGAGTACGCAGATCTTCCTAGATTTCCCTACCAGCTTTCCTATCCTCTTCCATAACCAGAGCCATCACTGAATGGGAGGTTCTTGCTGCTCCAGTACCAAAACCTAGTGCAACACTGGCCTACAAACAGTCAAGTTTGGATGGCCCCATCGCTGAAAAGGTGCTTGCCAACATGTTTGGGGATGTAACATCAGACATGGAGACTACCCGTCTCCAACCTGTGAGTGCACTCCACTCCGGAGACTTCCTCCAAACAGTTCCCATTTCGGCAAGGGGAACACACCTCGATGCTAAGACTCTCCGTATTGCAGTGGCTCTGCACCTTGCTGCCCCAATTCACACGGAATATACGTGTATTTACGGCGATGCACAAGCCGACCAATATGGTCTACATGGTCTTAACTGTTCCAAAACCAAGAGCTGGCATGCAAGACACAATGAGGTCAACGACATCATAAAGAGAACCCTTGCTACAGCTGGATGCCCAGCCAAGAGAGAGCCCCGATCACTAGCAGCCAAAAATTCCCACAACCCAGCAAACTGCCCCGATGGGATCACCATCTATCCTTTGAAGAATGGCAAGCTCTTAGCATGGGACTATACCTGTGTATTCACACTGGTGGACACCTATATCCATCACAGTGTCGGACGACAGAGAGGAGCTGCTGACCATAGGGAGGAGTACAAGGGACATAAATCAACAGTATCAATTTGTCCCAGTGGGATCAGAGACCTTGGGATCATGGGGAAAAAATGTCACACGTTTCCTTATAGAACTGGGTTCCAGACTCATCGACACCAGCAGGGACCCAAGAGCAACCACTTTCATGTTCAAGCGCCTCAGCGTGGCCATCCAGAGTGAACATGAATGCTGCATACTGGGCTCGCGTCCAGCTTCGGAGGAGCTGGAGGAGATTCATAATCTTTGATATATTGTACCAATGTATTCATGTTTGTGTTTTCTGTCAATGTATTCTGTATATTAATAAATTTTCCCATAGAATATAAAATATAGGGGGTGGTAGGAGAAGAAAATATTCAAACAGCTCCGGGGGGTATCTAGACTGTTTGTAGGCCAGTGCTGCACTAGGTTTTGGAGCTAGAGCAGCAAGAGTCTCCCATTCAGTGATGGCACTGGCCTAGTTAGGGTCCTGTATTTCTGCTGAGTCACTGAGGATGTCCGGAAGAATTTGTTTTATTAACTCATTAGATGCTATGGAAGAGGATAGGCAAGCTGGTAGAGCAATCTGGGAAGATTTGCGTACTCCCAGCCCTCCAAGCCTGACTGGAAGTGAGGCTTGCAACCACTGTCCATCTTAAAGGAAAAGGCTCAATACTCTCTCTAGCACGGTCTTGAGAGAATCATATTCCTAGAGTTTGGGACTGCTGAAGACTGGGGAGCATGATGTGTGGTGATGTCTTTCATCTTGCCTTCCATCGTCCTTAGGTCTGAGATTTATATATATATATATATATATATATATATATATATATATATATAGTATTATATATATATATATATATATATATATATATATATATATATATATATATATATATATATATATATATGTGTGTGTGTAGTGCCGAATATGTAAAACTGGTCAATTAGCAAGAACTCATTTAAAATTAAGTCCTTTCTAAAAATTTCTCTTATACTTTTAAAGATATATTTTTTTCATTAATGTTAATGTAAAAATTTTTAATTTTGCACCAAAAGAATCTTAGAAAACTTACTTAACCTTATTATAACAAGAACAATTTATTTTAGCCTAACCCAGCTATATATATTTTAGATTTGTTTACAATAATTTAATACTAAACAAATACATTGAAATATATTTTTTTTGTTAGGTTCAGAATGATTTTGGCGAAATTATTGCATACACAAATTTTCACTTGACCTATATGGCAAGATGAGCGTTGCTATTTAAGCCAAGATCTCAAGTTCTGCCTATTCGGCACGACATATATATATTAACACACATTACTTCAGAAGAATCAGAAGAGGGAAGAGAAGCATATTTAAAATGTTAAATACCGAGGTGACACCTCACTCACATTTGTCCAGCATCAAGTTAAATTGTTCGTATGACACAGAACACTATGTACTTTTGGGATAAATAATTTTACCTTCAAAATTATGAACAGTATTCTGGACTATAAATTTGTCAAGTTTATAGATACCAGAACTCAAATTTTAAATGTGTTGTGCATCATTCTTAACAAGAGGTGATTTCACAATACTGTGTTGAACTGTAGAATTACAGGGAAATAATTCTTTGGCATTAGTCCAGTCTACACAATGGCTTGTATTCCTTACATAATTCAACAAAATACTAGATTCTTCTCCAATAGATATTGCATATATTATTTAACACTTATCACAAGAGATTTGCCAGTTTGTCCTATATAAAAGTTATCACAACTTTCACACTGGATGGAGTATACACAACCCAAAAGTTCCTTCGGAGAATTTTTAATTAATTTTTGTTTTATGGTGTCATTTTTAAAGACAACTTTAACAGTAAAGTATTCAAGAACTTGTGGGAGGTGAGAGATTTTTATTACATGGTAAAACTAGCAAATTCTCAAGCTTATAAATATCGGATATTAGGTTCTGTCTTAACAAGCCGTTCATGTAAGTGTTGAGGAACTGGTTGACAATTGCTTGATCATTTCCTCATTATCTCTAAGTAGCGTTTTAAGTTGCTTAATAAACTTATTATTGACCTGGTCTAGATGCTTCTTATAAACGGAAACTTAAGTTTCTCTCTTTCAATAACAGATTTATTTTCCCCTTATAATTTCCCATGTCCAAAATTTTCTGCTTTCGTAAAGTGAATCTTGGATCATTTCTGGTCATCGTATGACTTAAATAATCATTAAATACATTTCGAGTACACAGGTCTGAGAATGGGTTTATACACAATGCCTTTGCAAATGTTGAGAGCCTCGAGGAATAAATCCCCTTATTTTTCCAAACTGCAGAACTTAGCAAAATCTACGTAATTAGTGTCCCCACTGGCAACGTGAAACTTAACCCATATCCTAAATCTGTCTGTTGTTCCCACTGAACGCAGCACTCGACTAGCTGATTACAAAATCAGGGATAGTGTGCTCAGTGTTCAGTTTTCCTGTCTGGTAACATGCAGTTTTAAGTTTTGTTATTCTCAACTTTCTTAATGATCTTGCCAATCAAACGGTACTTAGTTAAAAAAAATATTAGCTTGATTTTTTTTTCCACTTCAGTGAGTATCATCTTTCAGGTCGTAGCTAATAAATATTCATAGAAAGGACTAATCAGTGTAGTTGATCAGCGTCGATGAAAGGTTGATCAACTTAATCTGTAGAAGCGATTTTGGTTCAACCTGTTTCCTGAGACACTAAGAGATGCAGAACAAGGAAGCGTTGCAGCGAACCCTGGAGAGGGTTTCAGGGATCAACGCCCCCACGGCCCGGTCTGAGACCAGGCTTCATGGTGGAACAGGGTCTGATCAACCAGGCTGTTACTGCTGGCCGCACGAAAGCTGACGTACGAACCACAGCCCGGTTGGTCAGGTACTGACTTTAGGTGCCTGTCCAGTGCCTTCTTGAAGACAGCCAGGGGTCTATTGGTAATCCCCCTTATGTATGCTGGGAGGCAGTTGAACAGTCTTAGACCCCGGACACTTATTGTGTTGTCTCTCACTGCACTCGTGGCGCCCCTGCTTTTCATTGGGGGAATGTTGCATCTCCTGCCGAGTCTTTTGCTTTCATAGGAAGTGATTTTCGTGTGCAGGTTTGGTACCCATCCCTCCAGGACCATCCAAGTGTATATTATCATGTACCTCTCTCGCCTGCGTACCAGGGAATACAGATCAAGGACCTTCAACCGTTCCCAGTAATTTAGGTGCCTTATCGTACTTATGTGTGCCGTGAAAGTTCTCTGTAGTGCAGAGAAGTGGAGAGAATCAAAGACAGGAAGCCTACATAGGCCTCCTCTTGGACATGGCTTATTAACCATGAAATATAGCGCTTCCTGATCTCATACATTTTCAAGCAACTTGATAATGTGAGAAATCACGAAAATATGCGTTTGTTTATTCTTAAATTTTTGTATTCTTATCTAAGATATATATTGTTCCATTAGGCTAAATTAAATTAAATTTCGCTTTTTATAATAAGGTTAAGTAAGTTTTCTGTTGTTGTTTTTTTGTACAAAATTATTAATTTTTACATTAACATAAAAAAAATTATTCTTGAAACCTATAAGAGAAAATATTAAAGAGGACTTAATTTAAATGAGTTTTTGCTAATTCACTAGTTTTACCTATTCGGCACGACATATATACATATACATACATATACATAACGAGAGAGAATTTAATAATATGATTTACTCACCATAGACTTTTAGCTTGACTAAGGATGTGAGTGACGGGGAACTCAGAAAGTCCACCCTGCAGGTGAAGTCACCTTCGTCGTTCAAGGTTACACGCTGCAGGTTCAGGTGAACCCGCTGCGGCTGTGTCAGGTTCAAGGAGACACGTCCGTCGTACGCAGCGTCCCGGATCTTCGAGTTTCCGGCACGCCAGAAATCTCCGTTCCGCGCGTCGTAACTGCGGGAGAATAATAATGTTATGCACGAGAATGTAACTTTCTGTTTCTTACTTTCTACAGCTCCCAGTAGCTCATCCCACTCCCCAGCTCCTAGTAACTCATCCCACTCCCCAGCTCCTAGTAACTCATCCCACTCCCCAGCTCCCAGTAACTCATCCCACTCCCCAGCTCCCAGTAACTCATCCCACTCCCCAGCTCCCAGTAACTCATCCCACTCCCCAGCTCCTAGTAACTCATCCCACTCCCCAGCTCCTAGTAACTCATCCCACTCCCCAGCTCCCAGTAACTCATCCCACTCCCCAGCTCCCAGTAACTCATCCCACTCCCCAGCTCCCAGTAACTCATCCACACTCCCAGCTCCCAGTAACTCATCCCACTCCCCAGCTCCCAGTAACTTATCCCCAACTCCCCACCCCAGTAACTCTCCCACTCCCAGCTCCCATAAACTCATCCCCTCCCCACTCCCTAGTAACTCTATCCCATCAACCCCCTCCCCGCTCCCAGTAACTTATCCCACTCCCAGCTCCCAGTTAACTCAACCCACTCCCCAGCTTCCCAGTAACTCATCCCACTCCCAGCTCCCATAATTTATCCCCTCCCAGCCCAGTAATTACCCCACTCCCCAGCTCCCAGTAACTCATCCCCTCCCCCCCAGTCCCATCCCCTCCCACCCTCACCCACTTCCCCCAGTAACCTCCACCCCCCAGCTCCAGTACTCATCCCACTCCCCAGCTCCATAACTCATCCCACTCCCCAGTCCAGTAACTTCCCATCCCGTCTCCCCTACTCCCAGCCCATAACTCAACCCCTCCCCAGCTCCCATAATTCATCCCCTCCCCAGCTCCTCGTAACTCTACCCACCCATTTCCCGTAACTTCTCCCACCCCCACTCCCAGTATTTCAACCCCCTCCCCAGTCCGCATCCCTCACCCCTTTCACCACCCCGTCTTCATAACCTCCCTCCCCAGCCCATCTCATCCCCACCCACTCCCATTTTCCCTTCCCCCAGAAAACCCCACCCCAGTCCCTCTCCCCTCCCCCTCCCCCCCCCCACCCCCCACCCTCCCCCTCCCCCCTTCCTAACCCCTCACCCCATTCCCTCTCTACCCAAACCCCATCCCCCAGTCCTTCTCCCTAAACCCTTTTCCACCCCAGCCCTTCTCCTAAAAACCTCACCCTTTCCTCCCCTCCACCCTTACCCCAGTCCTCTCTCCCTCAACCCCTCACCCCAGTCCTCTCTCCCTCAACCCCTCACCCCATCCTCTTCCCCCAACCCCTACCCCAGTCCTCTCTCCCTCAACCCCTCACCCCAGTCCTCTCCCCCTCAACCCTCACCCCAGTCCTTCTTCCCTAAAACCCTAACCCCAGTCCTCTCTCCCTCAACCCTCACCCAGTCCTCTCTCCTCAACCCCTCACCCCAGCCCCTCTCTCCCTCAACCCCTACCCCAGTCCTCTCTCCCTCAACCCCTCAACCCCAGTCCTCCCCTCCCTCAACCCCTCACCCCAGTCCTCTCTCCCCTAAACCCCCTAACCCCAGTCCCTCTCTCCCTCAACCCCTCACCCAGTCCTCTCTCCTCAACCCCTCACCCCCAGTCCTCTCTCCCTAAAACCCCTAAACCCCAGTCCTCTCTCCCTCAACCCCTACCCCAGTCCTCTCTTCCCTCAACCCCTCCCCCCAGTCCTCTCTCCCTAACCCCTACCCCAGTCCTCTCTCCCTCAACCCCTCACCCCAGTCCCTCCCCCCTCAACCCAAAACCCCAGTCCTCTCCCCCTCAACCCCTCACCCCAGCCCTCTCTCCTCAACCCCTCACCCCCAGTCCTCTCTCCCTCTCCCCCTCACCCCCCAGTCCTCTTCCCTCAACCCCTCCCCCAGTCCTCTCTCCTCAACCCCTCACCCCAGTCCTCTCTCCCTAAACCCCTCACCCCAGTCCTCTCCCCCTCAACCCCTCACCCCAGTCCTCCTCCCTAAACCCCTCACCCCAGTCCTCTTTCCCTCAACCCCTCACCCCAGTCCTCTCCCCCTCAACCCCTCACCCAGTCCTCTCTCCCTCAACCCCTCCCCCCAGTCCCTCTCCCTCAACCCCACAACCCAGTCCTCTCTCCCTAAAACCCCCCTCACCCCCAGTCCTCTCTCCCTCAACCCCTCACCCCAGTCCTCTCTTCCCCTCAACCCCTCACCCCAGTCCTCCCTCCCTCAACCCCTCACCCCATCCTCTCTCCCTAACCCTCACCCCAGTCCCTCTCCCTCAACCCCTCACCCCAGTCCTCTCTTCCCTCAACCCCTCACCCCAGTCCTCTCTCCTCAACCCCTCACCCCAGTCCTCTCTCCCTCAACCCCTCACCCCGGGTCCTCTCTCCCAACCCCTCACCCATCCCTCTCCCTCACCCCTCACCCAGTCCTCTCTCCCTCAACCCCCACCCCAGCCCTCTCTCCTCAACCCCTCACCCCAGTCCCCCTTTTCCTCAACCCTCACCCCAGTCCTCTCTCCCTCAACCCCTCACCCCAGTCCCTCTCCCCTCTTCTCTCCTAAAACCCCTCACCCCAGGCCTCTCTCCCTCAACCCCCTCACCCCAGTCCTCTCTCCCTCAACCCCTCACCCCAGTCCTCTCTCCTCAACCCCTCACCCCAGTCCTCTCTCCTCAACCCTCACCCCAGTCCTCTCCCCCTTTCAACCCTCACCCCAGTCCTCTTCCTCAACCCCCACCCCAGTCCTCTCTCCCTCAACCCCTCACCCCAGTCCTCTCTCCCTCAACCCCTCACCCCAGCCCTCTTTTCCTCAACCCCTCACCCCAGTCCTCTCTCCCTCAACCCCTCACCCCAGTCCTCTCTCCCTCAAACCCTCACCCCAGTCCTCTCTCCCTCAACCCCTCACCCCAGTCCTCTCTCCCTCAACCCCTCACCCCAGTTTTTTTCCTCTCTCCTAAACCCCCTCACCCCAGTCCTCTCTCCCTCAAACCCCTCCCCCAGCCCCTCTCTCCCTCAACCCCTCACCCCAGTCCTCTCCCCTCAACCCCTCACCCCAGTCCTCTCTCCTCAACCCTCACCCCAGTCTCTCTCCCTCAACCCCTCACCCCAGTCCTCTCCCCCTCAACCCCTCACCCCAGTCCTCTCTCCCCCTCAACCCCTCACCCCAGTCCTCTCTCCCTCAACCCCTCACCCCAGCTCTCTCCTCAACCCCTCACCCAGTCCTCTCTCCCTAACCCCTCACCCATCCCCTCTCCCTCAACCCCTCACCCCAGTCCTCTCTCCTCAACCCCTCACCCAGTCCTCTCTCCTCAACCCCTCCCCCCAGTCCTCTCTCCCTAAACCCCCTCCCCCCCAGTCCTCTTTTCCCTCAAACCCCTCACCCCAGTCCTCTCTCCCTCAACCCTCACCCCAGCCCTCTCTCCCTCAACCCCTCACCCCAGTCCTCTCTCCCTAAACCCCCCACCCCAGTCCTCTCTCCTCAACCCCTCACCCCAGTCCTCTCTCCCCTCAACCCCTCCCCCCCAAAGTCCTCTCTCCCCCCTCAACCCCTCCACCCCCAGTCCTCTCTTCCCTCAACCCCTCACCCCAGTCCTCTCTCCCTCAACCCCTAAACCCCAGTCCTCTTTTCCCTCAAACCCCTCACCCCAGTCCTCCCTAAACCCTCACCCAGTCCCTCTCCCTCAACCCCTCACCCCAGTCCTCTCTCTCCTCAACCCCTCACCCCAGCCCTCTCTCCTCAACCCCCACCCCAGTCCTCTCTCCCTCAACCCCTCACCCCAGTCCTCTCTCCCTCAACCCCCTAAACCCCAGTCCTCTCTTCCTCAACCCCCCCACCCCAGTCCTCTCTCCCTCAACCCCTCACCCCAGTCCTCTCTCCTCAACCCCCCCCACCCCAGTCCTCTCTTCCTCAACCCTCCCCCAGTCCTCTCTCCCTCAACCCCTCACCCCAGTCCTCTCTCCCTCAACCCCTAAACCCCAGTCCTCCCCTCCCTCAACCCCTCCCCCCCAGTCCTCTCTCCCTAAACCCCCCTCACCCCAGTCCCTCTTTCCTCAACCCCTCACCCCAGTCCTCTCTCCCTCAACCCCTCACCCCCCCAGTCCTCTCTCCCTCAACCCCTCACCCCAGTCCTCTTTCCTCAACCCCCCCCCCAGTCCTCCCCCTCAACCCCTCACCCCAGTCCTCTCCCCTCAACCCCTCCCCCAGTCCCTTCTTCCTCAACCCCTCACCCAGTCCTCTTCCCTCAACCCTCACCCCAGTCCTCTCTCCCTCAACCCTCACCCCAGTCCTCTCTTCCTCAACCCCCCCCCCCCAGTCCTCTCCCCTCAACCCCCACCCAGTCCTCTCTCCCTCAACCCCCTCACCCCAGCCCCTCCTCCCTCAACCCCCCCCCCCACCCCTCTCTTCCTCAACCCTCACCCCAGTCCTCTCTCCCTCAACCCCTCACCCCACCTCTCTCCCCCCAACCCCCCACCCCGTCCCTCTCCCCAACCCCTCACCCCAGTCTCTCTCCCTCAACCCCCACCCCAGTCCTCTCTCCCCAACCTCACCCCAGTCCTCTCTCCTAAACCCCCCCACCCCGTCCTCCTCCCCAACCCCACCCCAGTCCTCTCCCCTCAACCCCCCACCCCAGTCCTCTCTTCCTCACCCCCCACCCCCCTCTCTCCCTAAACCCCCCTCACCCCAGTCCTCTCTCCCTCACCCCCACCCCAGTCCCTTCCCTCACCCCCCCCCATCCTCCCCTCCCTCAACCCTCACCCAGCCTCTCTCCTCAACCCCTCACCCAGTCCTCTCCCCTCAACCCCCCACCCCTCCTCTCTCCCTCAACCCCCCCCCCAGTCCCTCTCCCTCACCCCCCCCCGTCCTCTCCCCCTCTACCCTCCCCCAGTCCTCTCTCCCTCAACCCCTCACCCCAGTCCTCTCTCCCTCAACCCCTCACCCCAGTCCTCTCTCCCTCAACCCCCCACCTCAGTCCTCTCTCCCTAAACCCCTCACCCCAGTCCTCTCTCCCTCAACCCCTCACCCAGTCCTCTCTCCCTAAACCCCCTCACCCAGTCCTCTTCTCCCTCAACCCCTCACCCCAGTCCTCTTTTCCCTCAACCCCTCACCCCAGTCCTCTCCCCCTAAACCCCTCCCCCCAGTCCTCTCTCCCTCAACCCCTCACCCCAGTCCTCTCTCCCTCAACCCCACCCCAGTCCTCTCTCCCTCAACCCCTCACCCCAGTCCTCTCATCCCTCAACCCCCTCACCCCAGTCCTCTCTCCCTCAAACCCCTCACCCAGTCCTCTTCCCTCAACCCCCCACCCCAGTCCTCTCTTCCTCAACCCCACCCCAGTCCTCTCTCCCTCAACCCCTCACCCCAGTCCTCTCTCCCTCAACCCCCCACCCCAGTCCTCTCTTCCTCAACCCCCACCCCAGTCCTCTCTCTCCCCACCCCTAACCCCATTTCCCTCTCTCCCTCAACCCTCACCCCAGTCCTCTCCCCC